GCCAATTCATATGCCCTCACATCCTATTCATCATTCCTACTTATCAAGCTTTCAAATTTTTTTTAGAAATACAAATGTTGGACCTTGACAGATGGAGATAAATGTCTGTAATTTTGGCACTTGGGAGTTGGGAGAAGAATGAAGACCATATGAGACCTTTTCTCTAAAAAGACTAAAAGAAAAAAGAAGAAAAAGATGTGTGAGTGCTGGAGCACTTAATTTCTCCTTTAAAATATTTTAAGTGGTTGACATTTTATTTACCATTTAAGTATAGTCCTTGTACCTGATTCAGAAAAAAGTTTGCCCCACTATGATAATGAAAATACACTGTATGAGATTTTCAAAGAATTAATTAAGATGCTCTATTATTATTTCTTTAAAAGAGCACGGTATTAAAATTCAGGTGTCAAAAACCTGAACTCTTGGGGAAGGGTCTAGGCCCTGCCCTATATGAAATGACAGACTATGCACACCCCCATGGAGGGCCTCACCCTCCCTGGGGAAATGAGGGGATAATGGGGGGGTTAGGGGGAGGGCACGGGAGGAGGGGAGGGAATGGGAGAGGGACCTGGAACTGACTTGTGAAGCAACCTCGTTTCTTATCTAAATTTAAACTGGAAAATAAAATTTAAAAAAAACCCAAAATCTTGTGAACGTGAGCAAAATTTACCATGGTAGCAAGGAAACATGAGATATTATTTCCAAGGAAGACAAGTGTGCTCTCACTACCTGTTCCTAGAGAAGTAATTTACATGTACGAGTACAGCCACTGGGTTTTCCAAATGGCTCATTGACTCTTCAAAGAAGAGATTATACTGGCTTCATGACATGGGCCACTGTTAAAATGGGAATCACCAGAAAACAAATACAGCAACCGTTTAGCTTACACTTAAAGAGTAGAACATTGCTTCATCGAAACAAATTGTGACTCTAGGCCTTTTGTAAATCAACAATAACCCATTTTCTGAGTCTCCCTCTCTCTTCATGTATGTATATATGTATGTGTGTATGTATTATGCAAAACATCTTAGTTATACTTGGGATCAGCTGAATGGGAGAAAAATGGCAGGGAATATTTAAATTTAAACCATTTTTGAAAACTTTACATTGCACTTGGAAGAGTTCCATGGTGCACCAAATTGGGCTTACCATACTGTTAGAATCTCCTCACCAGTTGTAGACGTACTTTTCCATCTGCCCAACCACGTCCAGGAAAGGAGAAACATATACAAAACTCCTACTTTCTGTGTCCTCTTAAAACAACACAGGCCTCACTTGTTTTCTACTGTTCACACACTTAGATTTCTTGAAGGTTTGGGTTATTTAACCTTTAAAAACCGAGCTCTTAAAAGACACTTATAGAAATGAGCAATAACGAGGCATGGGTTTCTTTAGTTCCATTTCATCAAATTTTCAGACACTGAGCTGTCCTAGCTACTTCCTGATACTATGATAAACCCTGAGCAAAACCAAAAGTGGTAGAGGAAAGGGTATCTTTGGATTACACATTAATATCTTAGTGTAATCATCTTCAGGAAATGGCAGGAATTCAAGACCGGCACCTGGAGGCCGAGATCTGCAGCAGAGACTATGAGAGAATGGTAGTTACTGGCTTACTACCGATGGCTTGTTCAACTTTCTGTCTTATACCACCCAGGTGTGACTCTTTCCACAGTGGCTGGGCTCTCCTGTATCAATTTCTAGTCTAGAAAATGTCCCACCGTATGATTCTAGCTTGTGTCATGTTGACTAAAAATTGAACGGCATGCTACCCAAAACTCCTCGGCAGCCCCTTGTGGGTGCTGACGACAAAGCTGCAGTCATCTAACAGACCAATACGACTCTTAGCTACTGAGCCATCTCCCCAGTTTAAAATGGGGTAACCACCTCACACTGCCATCAAGAGTCTCCTTGTCCGTTCATGAAGGTTTACAGGAATCTTTTCATTTCCGTGGAAGCTCCATAAATTATCACTTTTCAATACATCGAGGGAGCTTGATCTTTATACCTCATTATTCTTACTCCCATTTAGTCATTATGCAAGCTGTTGTGGAAGACTTATATGCTCAACATTGCAAACAATGTTGAGCATATAAGGTTTGAGAGATCAAACCTTTTTGATCTCTCAAAGCACTGCCCTGATGGCTGTTGGCAGTGTCAACCAGTAACAACTCATTACAGCGAGGAATACACCCAAGAGAAGCTTACAAGTCGCCACTGAGAGTACTGATCCAGATAAAACTTCAAAGTCACTCGTTTTAAATCTTCCTGCAGTATTAAAATCACAGATTGTTGGTGCCATTTCCATATTTGATCCCTATCATAATGTGTGTCACCAAGCATTTTCCACAACTTCACTTTCTTTCCATAAGCAAATTAAAGTAGCAAACTGAGATAATTATCCAAGTCATTCAAGCCAAAAATTGCTTTTGCATAAGTATACACAAAAAATCAAAATGATGAACTCGGGATCTACAATTATGAATTCTCTTTCTATGAGAGGACAGGCTGCCTTGCACTGGTCATGTTTCCATTGCCCTTTTCACTGAGACAATCATTTAATAACTGCAGGAGCTTTGCTTTTAATCAATTGATCCATGTCCCACATTTCAACACCAAAAAATAATATTAAATAATGAGGTCAAAGAGCAGTTGATGAACAAATTTTAGTGCTGATTATTCTGACTGCTTACACATAGGGACCTGGACATTCATAGGCAAATAAAACTCACATCATGATATCATGCTTTGAATTTTTTTCCTTCCAGAAAAGTATTTATTTTTAAATACTGAGTAAACTGAAAGATGAAACCACATACAAAAAGTTGTCAGATTCCTCTACAAGAAGCTATTTGGAAGTGTACTAAATCTTAGGGGCTGATTCATTTTAGCTTTTCAGTTTTTAATAGAAAGTTTTATATAATGTATTTTTATTTTATTTCCCTTTCTCCTATCCTTCCCAGATTTGACCCACCTCACTAGCCATCCAACTTCATGCTTTCTCACCCTCCCTCTTCCTAACTCTCCCTACTTGCTCTTCCTCTCTCTGGAGTTCCCTTGCTCTCAGGTAGAAAGAAAAGAGAGAAAGAAAAAAGGAAGGAAGAAAGGAAGGAAAGAAGGGAGGGAGGGAAGGAGAGAGGGAGGGAGGGAGAGAGAGAACATAGGAGAATTCAAAGTCTTCATTAAACTGCAATGCTAGGCATTGGAAGCATGCTGACACAACTCTCCTTCACCTGAGGCTATGCTACCTTTAGCTATCAGAGGTTGAAAGATCAAAGACTTCTCCCGTTGGGACTGAAGCTCTACTGCTTGCCATGTCAGAGCTGGCATCTGGGTCAGCATCCCTGGACAGGAAGTGCCGCCTAGAGCCACAGCCCATGGAGTGATGAGGTCAAAGTATGGAAAAACAGGCAAAGAGGAGAGAGACTTGCTGAAGATAAATTCAGGATTATTCTAAAGCTCTGCTAAAACAGAGTCGTAGAATCAATTTCAGCATTTATTCCCTCTAACAAAATTATTTTAAATTCAAAATTATTATACTAGAAATCCTTAGCATCTTATAAAGTACATATAGTCATAAAGTATAAAACAGAAACAAACTCAAATGAATAAAAAAATAATGGAAATGAATCAATTAGAAACTTAAGAAGTGGCCACACCCACCAGAAAACCAAGTAGGCTGCCCACAGACCTTCTCTGTCCTGTTTCCCCAGATGAAAACCCTCAGTCTCATTCCTAGGGCTGCAATTGAATGCCAGCTGCAGCCTCGCTTCTGCCCTACCCAAATCTCCTGTGGATCACAGACCATCCCCTCCTAAAGTCCCTCCTCCCACTCCTCACTGTATCCCAACAACCAACACAGGAAGGCATCCCCTGTGAATACACCAGCTGATCAGGCCAATGAATCAGGCAACACAAGGACATCACACTCTCTAAAAATCCAGAGAGGAAACAGAAGCCAAGGAACAAAACATCCACCCAACAAAAACATACTCGGAAGTCAGCACCTAGGCCTGTAATCATCCCAAACCCAGATGCCTAGACATCAGCATAAGAACATAATCACTAAAGGCTAGGTCACTATGCCTCTACTAGCCCAGGAACTTTACCATAGCAGGCCATGAATATTCCAGCATAGCTGAAGCACAGAAAAAAGACTTTAAAACCAACTATATGAATACAATAGAGGTATTTATGAGGAAAGGAATGAGGATATGAATAAATCCCTCATAGAAACACAGGAAAACACAATTAGAGAAAATGAATAAACCCCTTAAAGAAAATATAAACAAGTAGTTGAATAAAACTGTTCAGGACCCAGAAGTGGAAAAAGCAATAAAGGAAACATAAACTAAGGAAATTTTGAAATTAAAAATTTTAGGAATCTGAACAGGAACTACAGAACTAAGCTTTACCAACAGAACATAAACAGAAGGCAAAATCTCAGGCAATGAAGATATTGTTGAAGAAATGGATAGCTCAGAAAAAGAAAATGTTAAATCTGAAAAATTGCTGACACAAAACATCCAGGAGATTTGGAACACTATGAAAATAAAAATCTAAGAATAATAATAAAAATAGAGGAGGGAGAAGAATACCAACTCAAAGGTACAGAAAGTATTTTTAATAGAATCACAAAAGTTGATATACAAAAACCAGCCAGTATAACTGACCCTCTGTCAACTTTGACACACAAATACATCACTATTAAATTACAACCCTTCCCTTCATATTTATCCCTGAGATTTCACCTTAAAAGCATAAATAATTTGGAAAGCTCCTCAGTTCTTACAAACTCAAACACATTAAAATTTCAGTCTCCTTAAAATATCCAATCTCTTTTTAAAGTTCAAGCCTTTCATCTGTGGGCTCCTCTAAGAATCAAAATTAAATACCTTCTTCAAAAGGGAAGAACCAGACAGTGTCACAGTCTGAACCAAGTAAAACCAAACTCCAACGGTATAAATGACTCAACATCCAATTATCTGGGACTTACTTACCATTGTCTAGACTCCTCGAAAGGCCTTGGGTCACTTATTCCTGCTCTGCCTTTGTAGCACACAGTTTATCTTCAAAGCTCTCACTGGCTCCACTCCACCGCTGCTATTGGTCTTGGTGGTCATTCCATGGTGCTGGCACTTCCAAAAGGCTGGGGTCCCTTGCTGCAACCGGGCTGCACTTTCACCAATAGCCTCTCATCGGATCTCTTCATGGTGCCGAGTCTCAACTTCTTTTCATGACCCCTTCAGTCCTGGGCCTTCAGCAGCTAGTGAGGCTGCACCTTCACCAATGCCCTCTCCTGGAGTCTCACAGCGTCAAGCCTCAGCTGCTCTCCATGATCCCTTCATGCTTTCAAAATGAGTACCACCTGGGTGATGCTTACACATTATCAAGTCAGACTGCCAGGACTGGGTTCAACTTGGCCACCTCTGGAACACAGCTTCTCTGTGATTTCGGGAAACACCTTCCCAGGTGATTTCACCTTAATGATGCTGGACTCTTCTTAATTTCCTAGCTCCAGCTGGCCAGTGTCAATTGCCCCAGTAAGGTAGAGATTTCAACTTTTGCATTTCTGGTATCTAGTTAATCACAGCTGATTCTTTGGTCCCAATTAACTAGAACTACAGAATCTCAATTTAAAATAATAAATTGCCCTGAATAGTCTTTAAACTTCCCCCTGAAGTTTTACAAGCCAGGCCTCCATCATCTGCATTGCTCACAACATTCTCATCTTCCAAGCTCCTATAGGACATCCTACTGTGGTCTCAACACTTAATGACTTTTCTATCCCAAAGTTCCAAAGTTCTTCCACAATCCTCCCAAATTTATGGTCAGGTCTGCAACAGAAATACCCCACTACACTGGTATCAACCCGTCTTAGTTAGAGTTTCTGTGCTGTGATAAAGCACCATGACCAAAAAGCAAGTTGAGTAGGTATGGGTTGATTTGACTCACACTTCCCCATTGCTGTTCATCCCTGAAAGAAGTCAGAACAGAAACTCAGACACGACATAAGCTTGGAGTCAGAAGCTGATGCAGAGACCATGGAGGGGTCTTACTGGCTTGTTTCTCCTGGCTTGCTCAGCCTCCTATCATATAGATCCCAGGACCACCAACCCAGGAATGGCACTATGCATCATTGCTGGGTCCTCCCCAGTTTGTCACTAATTGAGATAATGCCTTACAGCTGGAGCTCATGAATGCATTTCCTCAACTGAGGCTCTTTCCTCTCCCATGACTCCAGCTTATGTCAAATTGACACACAAAACCAGCCAGTACATCAAGGATAGATATTACTTCAGGATAAAATATAGGGAAACAGATATTCTAAGCAAATGGACCTAAGAAGGAAGCTGATATAACCATTTTAATATGTAAGAAAATAGACTTCAAACCAAAACTAATAGAAAGAGATGGGGAAAAAACACTAATCACAAAAGAAAAATACATGAAAATGACTTTTCAATTCTTAACATGTGTGCTCCAACACAAGGTCACTCATTTTGTAAAAGAAATACTGCTGCAGATTAAGTCACATATTGACCCTCACACAGTGATAGTAGGGACTTCACTCTAACTAATGGGAAGATCATCCAGTAAAAAACTAAACAGAAATGCTAGAGCTAACAGAAGTTATAAATGAAAAGAATCAAAAAGATATTTACAGAACATTTCACCCAAACACAAAAGAATACACATTCCTTTCAACACCTTATGTAACTTTTTCCAAAACTGATCACACATACTCAGACACAAAGAAATTCTCAACAGATACAAGAGAATTGAAATAACTCACTGCACCCTATCAGATCATCATGGATTAAAGATGCTTATCAACAACAGAAACAAGAGAAAGCTCAAACCTCATGGAAACTGAACAGCTCTCTACTGAATGAAAAAAAAGGATTAAGACAGAAATAAAGAAATCAAAGACGTTTTGGAATTTAATAAAAAATACACAGCATACCCAAATTTATGCTACACAATGAAAGAGGTGCTAAGAGGCAAGTTTATAGCACTTAGTGCCTCATTTAAAATGGAGAAATAATCACACTAGCAACTTAACAGCACATCTAAAGGCTCTTGAACAAAGAAAAGTAAGCACACCAAAGAGAAGTAGACAGCAAGAAATAATCTCAAGGCTGAAATCAACAAAAAAGAAAGAAAGAAAGAAGGAAGGAAGGAAGGAAGGAAGGAAGGAAAGCACATGCACATATACACCACCACCACAAATTGGAAAGGAAGAAGTCACAGTATGCAAAAAGAAAGCCTTTTAATTAGAAGGCATCAAGTAAAAGATAGAATATCAGGACTGGAAGATCAAGTAGAGAAATTAGACAACACAAGCAAAGAAATTAAAAAAAAAGTTATGATGGGGAAGTCCTGTGTATATGTCAATAAAGCACTGTTGGCCAATAGGGAACCAAGATAGGTGGGACTAGGAGTCGAGGAGGACTCTGGGGAGGAGAAACACAGGGAATCATCATGTAGCTGCTATAGGGATAAGAGGACCAGACCCTTTTCTCTGGTAAGAGAAATACTTAGATTAACAATTATGGAGTAAATACTTAAGTCAGAACTAGCCAGTAAGTAACAAACAAGGCCAACAGCTTCATAATTAATGTGTGTGCATTTGGGACTGATGCGGCTCTGGAACCAAGTTGGTGGGAAGGCTTTACTCTACAACATTAAAGCAAAGAAAAAGAACATGTACGAAAAATCTAATCTTTAATTAAGAGTTTAAATAAAGGAGAAGAATCCTAGGTCCCTGTCATCGACCAGCTCTTCAACAATGTTGTACAGGAAAACTTCCTTACACTAAGTAAAGAAGACCTTACAGATACAAGAATAACACATAACACCAAACAGAAAGGTCCAGAAAAGAAAGTTCACCAGAATATACCACAGTAGTTAAAATACCAGGTATATAAAGCAAATAAAAACATTGAAAGCTGAAATAGAAAAAAAGCACCTCATATAAATGGAAAAATAAAATAGTAAAATCCAATTTCTCAATGGAAAACTGTTGGCTAGAAGAACCAGAAGCAATACATTTCAAGTTCTGATAGATCATGATTGACAACCTAGACTACTATACCCAGCAAAACTATCTGTCATACCTGAAGGAGAAGGAAAAATCTTTTACCATGAAAACAGTCCAAAAATAGTGTCTGCCAAAACAACTCTAAAGAGAACAGTAGAAACAATTCTTTGAACTGAAGAGCAGAATAAGTACAGCCTAGAAACTCTAGGAAAAAAACGGATAAATCTATAATTAATGGTCGCCCCCAGCGAACCAAGCAACCCTGAGTCTGCTGATATCACTTGATTAATTCCTGCCCCCACTCTGGGGAGAGGTAAGCTTGGGCCCCTGTCTCAAACTCAACTTCTGCTTGCCTACTATTGGATCTCCTGGCCTGGGGACTGCAGGCAGGTCAATTTGCCCCCAGCAAACCAAGCAACCTTGACTCTGCTGACATCATTATGCTAGTCTTGCTCCCACCCACAGGGAGAGGAAGTGACTCAGACCCACATGCTCTCACTGTGAGACCCATCAGAGTATTGGACCTGCTTGCACCCACCGGAAGAGAACCTTAGACCCATACCCACCAGGAGAGGAAGAAACTACACCTGCACCCACTGGAAGACGGGATGGGAAGAAGACAATATAAGAACATATTCAACAACAGAAACACCAATATGATGCCACCAGATTCTAGGGACTGTACACCAGCAAGACCTTAACATCCTAACACAGATGAAGCAGAAAAGAATAGCATTAAAAACAAATTCATGAAGATGATAGAGACCCTAAAAGAGGAAACAAGAAAATCCTTTAAAGAAATGGAAGAAAAGACAAATCAAAAATTTCAAGAAACAATTCAAACAGTGCAAGGTTTGAAAGCTGAAATAGAGACAATTAAAAAAAAACATAGTATGAGGGAATGCAGGAATTAGAATAGATGGGTAAACAATCAGGAACTACAGATGCAAGAATAACCAACAGAATACAAGAGATAGAAGAGAGAATCTCAGGAATTGAAGATACACTAGGAGAAATAGATTCATCGACCAAAGAAAATCTTAAGTCAAATAACTAACACAAAATATCCAGAAAATATGCGACACTGTGAAAAGGCCAAACCTAAGAATAATAGGTATAGAAGAAGGTGAAGAAACCCAACTCAAAGGGACAGAAAACATATTCAACAAAATCATACAAGAACACTTTCCCAGCCTAAAAAAGACATGCCAATCAAAGTACAAGAGGCCTATATAACACCAAAAATGTCCCCTCATCATATAATAAGCAAAACACCAAACATACAGAATAAAGAAAGAATATTAAGAGCAGCAAAGTAAAACTGCCAAGTAACATATAAAGGCAAAGCTATCAGAAATACACCTGACTTCTACATGGAAACTCTGAAAGCCAGAAGGTCTCAGATATTCTACAAACACTAAGAGACCACTGATGCCAGCCCAGAGTACTATAGCCACTTTCAATCACTATAGATGGAGAAAACAAGATATTCCATGACAAAACCAGATTTAAACAATAGGTATGCACTAATCCATCCCTACAGAAAGTACTGGAAGGAAGACTTAAACCTAAGAAAGTTAACTACCCTCAAAAACATAGGCAATAAATAAGCCCACTTTACCAAAAGCCAAAAGAAAAAGCAGGGTAAATCCACAAACAATAACACCACTACCAACAAATCAAAAACAAACAAGAATGAACACTCAATAGTCCTTAATCTCCTTCAATATTAATGGTCTTAGCTTGCCTATAAAAAGACACAGGCTAAAAGAATGGATACAAAGACAGAATCCATACTTCTGGTGCATACAAGAAACACATCTCAAGGTCAAAGACAGATAGCACCTCAGAGTAAAGGGTTGGGACAAGATTTTCCTATCAAATGGACCCAAGATACAAACTGGTGCAGCTATCCTAGTACCTAACAAATTAGACTTCAAACTAAAGTCAATCAAAAGAGATGAAGAATGTCATTTTGTATTCATCACAAGAAAAATCCATCAGGAAGAAGTCTCAATTCTTAACATCTATGCCCCAAATACAAAGACACCCACGTTCATAAAAGAAATATTACTAAAGCTCAAATCACACATACAACCTCACACAGTTACAGTAGGAGACTTCAACACTCCATTCACACAACTAGACAGAAACTTAACATAGAAACAAAGGAACTAACAAATGTTATGACCTAATAACATTCCATCCGAACACAAAAAAAATATACCTTCTTCTCAGGGCCACATGCAACCTTCTCTAAAATTGACCACATGCTCGG